TAAAATCCCTTGCACCAAAATATTTAAAGCATGAGAATAATAAAGCATGAGGATTTGTTTGGAATTTTCTGGTAGCCATATGGAAAATGAATTTTTGAAGGACAGTTTCTGTATATAAATATCATCAAGGAAACTATGTAATAATCCAAGCAAGTAAAGATGTGCAGCATGATTGTAGTAGTAGAATAAAGAAGTGCTGGATTCAGGAAATTCCTTTAGGAAATGTAATTAATAAGAATGAGATTGATTAGCCATGTGTCATACAAGGCAGGGTATGATGCAGAAGAGTTTGCTTTGTACAATTTGCTTTGAGATGTTTCTGGTTAGTTCAATTAAACTGTCCAATTAGTATTTGGTTATACCAATCTCAGGCTGGAAACTCAAGATAAAGATTTGAAAAACCACCCTACATGCAGTTAAACCATAAGAGTGGGTGAACTAATTCAGGGAGATGGTACAGACTGGGAAAAGAGTGTTCACACAAAGTAGAACTGAAAGTAAAATAAAAACAAGATCAGAAAGTTTTCCTCTGTGTGTGGCAAGTAGAAGATTAGGCAGTCTTAGTGTATAGCCAGTTGTCTCAGAATGGTAGCAGGACAGACCAAATTAAAATAGCTTGAGGGGTGAATTAAAACTGTGGAAGTAGAGGCATTGGTGGAGAGTTAATATCTAAAATATATGAAGAGCTTGTGCAACTCAAAATTTAAAAACTTATAAAACTGGATTTAAAAAATAGGCAGAGAACCTGAATAGAATTTTTTTTTTAAAGAAAGCATGTAGATGGCCAACAGGCACATGAAAAGATGCTCAATATCAATAATTATCAAGGAAATGGAAATCAAAACCACAATGAGACACTACCTCACAGTTGTCAGAGCAACTATTATCAAAAACACAAAAAATAACAGGTGCTGGAAAGAATGAGGAGAAAGGGGAATCCTCATGCCCTGTTGGTAGGAATGTAAGTTGGTGTGACTGCTATACAAAACAGCACAGAGGTTCCTCAGAAAATTAAAAATAGAACTATCATGTGATCCAACGATTCCACTTCTGAGTATTTCTCTGGAAACACAACAAAAACACTAACTCAGGAAGATATTTGCAGCATTATTTGCAATTTACAATAGCCAAGATATGGGAACAACTCACATGTTCATACATAGAATCTAGAAAACAAAACAGGGACAAATAAAACAAAACAGAAACATAATCATAGTTGCAGAGATCAGACTGTTGGCTGCTGGAGGGGAGGGAGTTTGAGGGGCAGCCAAAATAGGTGAAAGAGATTAAGAGATACCAACATCCAGTTATAAAATAAGTTAAGTCATGGGAATGCAAAGTAGAGCATAAGGAATATGGTCAATAATATTGTAATAACTTTGCTTGGTGTCAGATGATAACTATACTTCTCTTAGTGACCAATTCAAAATGTATATGTGTATATATATTTATATACACATTTCAGCTTTCTATAAAGCTGAGCACTGAAGAATTGATGCTTTTAAACTGTGGTGTTGGAGAAGACTCTTGAGAGTCCCTTGGACTGCAAGGAGATCCAACCAGTCCATCCTAAAGGAAATCAGCCCTGACTGTTCATTGGAAGGACTGATGCTGAAGCTGAAACTCTAATACTTTGACCACCTGATACGAAGAACTGACTCATTGGAAAAGACCTGGATGCTGGGAAAGATTGAAGGTGGGAGGAGAAGGGGACAACAGACGATGAGATGGTTGGATGTCATCACTGACTCAGTGAATATGAGTTTGAGTAAACTCTGGGAGTTGGTGATGGACAGGGAGGCCTGGCGTGCTGCAGTCCATGGGGCTGCAAAGAGTTGTCAGACACGGCTAAGTGACTGAACTGACTGACTGATATATATATGTATCTATATATATGTATATAAAATCACTATGATGTACACTCGAAACTAATAGAATGTCTTATGTTATACTTTGATTTTTTTAAAAAGGCATTGATGGAAGCATTTTTAGGAAGTTTGGTTCAAAGAATAATGAGCTAGAAAAAGCAATAGGTAGATGTTTTAGATAATTATGGGAGGGATGTTGTTTTGTTTTTTTAAGGTTGAAAGAGAAGTGAGCTTATTTCTATGCTGTGGGAAATGAACCATAGAGATGAGCAGAATGAGTGGTAGTGAGTAAAATAAATGAAGATCCAAGAGGCAGATGAGATGATGGGACCCAAATCACCAGCCTGATGAATGATCTAAGCCTTGGATGGGGGAGAGGGTCTCTCACCCTCTGTGAATTGGGAAGGTGGTGAATACAGGTCAGAGTAAAGATACTTCTGTAGGGGCTGTGTGAGTGGGAGTAGAAGGTCTTTATTTTTGATTGCATAATTTTTTGGATGGACACAAAAGAGAGGTAGTATTTTTTAAGACTTTGAAAGGAATGGAAGAAAAACTACCAAGAAGCTGAAGTTTAAAGTTGGGAACTATTGATTTGTTTGTACTCATCAGTCTTAGAGTGTCATAATACTTATCAGTAGTTGTCAGCTGCCGTGTGAACAAAAATGACAGGTTAATACAGGATTAGGGTCTGGATGGCAGTAATGACTAAAAGATGTGGGTGCATGGGAATTGAGGGGACAATAGGTCCCATCTGAGTAGGACAGGAAGGAAATCAGGAGAGGAGCAAAACCCGGGAGAGAACTGAGATGATGATGAAGATATGTATTTGGTTGAAGAGGAAGTTGAGGAACTTCCCTGGTGGCCCAGTGGTTAAGAATCTGTCTTTCAATGTGGGGGACGCAGGTTCAATCCCTGGTCAGGAAACTAAGGTCCCACATGCTGTGGAGCAACTAAGCCTGTGAGCAGCAATTAGAGAAAGCCAACCCCCTTCAGTAAAGACCCATTGCAGCCAAAACTAAATAAATAAGAAAGCTGAGTTTGTGAAAGAGCCTAAAGCAAGTGAGTTTGTTATCAGAGAACAGAACACTGGATTTTAAGATTTCTGACAGAGCAATTGAATTACCTGTCCTTGGGTTGGGGAAGGTGAAATGGAAGGAAAGACTCCAGATTTGAGATTGAAGGACTTTGAAATTAGTCGGTACATATACGTGAACACAAATTTCATTCAAGATAATAGTGACACTTGAGTTGAAGAAGAAAATTTTGAGCCTGATCAAAGTCTTCCCAGGCAGAGAGAAAACAGGTTAATCTTTATACTTCTCTGTTAGCTGAGGTTCCTTTGAAGAGGAGGTACTATAATATTCTTAGAGGAAAAAGGGATGTCCTATTCTTAGATAAGGAAAGGACTTTCCTTATGACAGAAGGAGCAAGAAACATTTTATTTAGAGGCTGAGAATATAGAAGAGTGCTTAATATGGAAGGAGAGTTTCAGAAAGCAAGGAGAAAATGTTTGAGGGTATGAGTACAACTCTTGTAATGTAAAAAAAAAAAAAAGTGATTTAACTTTTATTGCAACTGTATTTCCCGGACTTGCCCACACAACCCTTGTTTGCATAGCACCTATTAAGCTCTTACAGAAGTAGTGCTGTGTGGATTTCATCTTGGGAAACATTGGCAGACCACTCAAGGATAGCGGGGCTCAGAGGCATTCCTCAATGGAGTTGATGCCAAGTCACGGCGAATTCAACTCTAAAGGTGTCTGGAGGGCACTGTTTGGACAACGATGAGGCAGCTTCAAGGCCACCCAATTTGTTGGTTGTTATCCTGGCCATTTTTCTTTTCAACTCAGCTAAATTGAGAACTCCATGAAATCAAGGACCATTCCTATTTCTTTACATTGCCACAACATTTGGGTTATTATTGAGCATATTGATAAATACTAAACAAGTATTTGTTTTTATTGAAGCTTGCAATGAATTTTAAAAAATTGCAACTTAGGTTTGATTTCTTGTTTCATTCTACCTTAAAAAGAGTCAGACATGACTGAGCCACTAACCACCACCACCAACAATAAATGTATAATACATACATAAATGTGTAAAATTTATTATTGTAGGAGTAAAAATATAATGTGCAATATTTATACTTATACAAAAGATCAAGAGAGTCATGCATATACATTATTGGATTCCACTGTGGTGTATAGAAATAAAGATATAAAAGAGTTGAAGATTTTAACTATGAAAACTTCTGGTACAGTTATGGATTGTATTTGAGTTTGCATTTTTTAAAATATTAATAGTATATGTCATGTTTTCATTAATACTCTTCCGTGAGGGCACTCACCCTCAGGAAATGCAAGAAAAAGTAAGGGCACTGGCAGAAACCTCCAGCCTCTGGATTATTTGATATACTCTCCCCCAGTGTTAGCAGAGCGTGTTCTGCTTACTGAGGTCAGAGTTCCCACGTTTACTGATGAGCTCTACCTCTTTACATAGAGTGCTTTCACAGTATAACTAAGCCCAGGCTAACCTCACTACAGAGGTGAGGATATAGAAGCTCAGAAATCTGTTGTCATGAAAGTCCCCATGCAATCTTCCTCTCCTGAAGAAGAGCCAGTGTCTTTGAGAACCCTGGGCCATCCACATATTGAATCTTCATGCCCCCTGATGAAACACATTTTGACCTGCAGGCCTTTAAGCTCAGGTTTTGTTGATTTGGAAAACTGTGTTTGATGAACCTCTGTGTAACCATGGAAACCTTCTCAGGCCCCTGGACACAGAAGTCAGGCGAGCATGCTATGTTGGATGGTTACTTTTCTTCCACTCATTTCCTCAGTGTCCATGAAAATATTTACTTATAAACCTTCCTCAGTCAGGCTAAGTAGAAAAGCAGATTCTACCTAGACTAATCTTCCCATGGATACAGGAGAAAAGATGAAAGCCTTTTCCTTAAAGGTTAGGAAAGCAAAAACACTATGACAAAGATTTCAGTAAAGCTTTATTTCTACTTGGGAGAAGCATGCCTGGTTTTAGAATTTAGAAGTTCATAGTCATGTTCCCAATAATATATAGTTCACATTTCACAAGTCAACATTACTGGAGGTTTCAATAACCATTTTTAATCATTTAGGCTTCAAGGAGATAACCTGGCAGAAAGGACAGAAGAGACTTCGCAAAGTCTTCAATCTCCAGATGAAATAGTCCCAGATTCTTTGGGTGAGTTTTAAATCCAACAAGATATATTGTGATTTTAGTGTCAGTTAAAGATGTCTTTAAAGAGAAAACTAGACCAAGCATCTTTGCCTACACCAAATCACCATAACTGTCAGGCATCCACCCACCACTCCTGCAGGTTCTGTGTATCAGGGAGCTAAGGGCGAAGGAGAAAAAGAAGTGTGAGAAGCAGCCTCTTAATTCCTGTGCCTGTTTAAGGTACAGGGTGACTACATTTTCTACTCTCAGAGTTTGTCACTAATTCCAACTTGGTTTTGGAACTTAAATCACCTACTCCCATTCTCATTTTGTGGATCTTTTCAGTTTTCTGGGCAGATTGTCAATATCAGACTTGATTTACTTTCGCCTCTCTCAGCCCTATATTAAATTGAACTCAAATCATGTCAATGTCACCAAGCCAGTCTCGTTTTCCCCAAGACTGCCTAGTCTATGCCTTTATCCTTCTCCATCTAGTGTAAGAGCTCTGTAAATAGATTTTCCTTGTACAATCTCACCCATTTGGTTCATTATATTTCTAAAAATAAAAAAGGGATGAAATTGCTATTTCTTCCCCATTTTCTATAGAACAAAATTCAAACTCCTTGGCTTAGCATATTAAGTTCATGCCAGGGCACTTCGGGATGTTTGCTGGATATATAAATAAGTACATGTAATGACACTACAGAGGCATGTAAGGTATATCACTGCTTCATCATTCATTGTTCTAGCAGGAAGCAGTCCATACATCCAATTGTAATAATTAGAAGAGAAACAATGGGAAAACATTTTCTTTACACCTAGCTAGAGAAGGACATCTTAAACAAGATGCAAAAATTCCTAAATATTAAAAAAGCTCAATAGTGTTAAGAATTCTTAACACTTAATTCTTAATAAGAATAAGAATTCTTATTCATCAAACAATGGCAGAAATAAAAGAGGTTGATAAGCTACAAAATAGGAAACTATATTTGTCACTGATCAAAGATTGATATTCAGGATATGTAAAGTATATCTATAATTCAATGAACAAAGGATCAGCAAACCAATAGAAAAATAAGCAATAGATATTTCACAGGATGGGAAACACAAATGGCCAATGAGCATATGAAAAATGTTTTACTCTAGTTACCAAGGAAAAGTAAGGTCCTTGAGAGATGCTGTTTTATGACTTTTTACGTGACACTGAGAAATCTGACAAAAATCAAGTGCTGGTGAAGACAGAGACAAAAAGAAAATCATACAACAGCTGGGGCATAAACAATTTTGGAAATAGTTTTCCATTATCCTAAAATCTGAGTGAAGCCCAGAAACTTCACTTCTGGATAAATATGTTAGAAAGCAAGTCTCATGTACCATGAAATGTAAGCAAATTTGTTCGTATGATGGTGGACAGGAAAATGGATAAATTGTGGGATTGTTATACTGTGGGAAACTGAATGCATGTCAGCTACATGCATAGGATGGATAATATAAGTGGCATGCTGGTAAATGTTAACAGCTGTCTGAAAATGAAAAGCCCTGGTTTGTAGAGATTGCTGGTTTCCATGATAGGCTGCTGCTGCTGCTAAGTCACGTCAGTCGTGTTCGACTCTGTGCGACCCCATAGACGGCAGCCCACCAGGCTCCCCTGTCCTGGGATTCTCCAGGCAAGAATACTGGAGTGGGTTTCCATTTCCTTCTCCAGTGCATGAAAGTGGAAAGTGAAAGTGAAGTCGCTCAGTCGTGTCTGACTCTTAGCGACCCCATGGACTGCAGCCCACCAGGCTCCTCCATCCATGGGATTTCCCAGGCAAGAATACTGGAGTGGGTTGCCATTGCCTTTTCCTTCCATGATATAAATATAATATAAATGCTGACTTCAAGCCACCCATCTGAAGTGGCATTTGGGCCTTCCAGTCTTGTGTGAGTAGGTTGCAACTCACAACTGAATGAATCTTAAAAGCATCATATTTGTTTAAAAAAAAAAAAGGACTTGTAAAAATACATATCTCAATAAAATAAAATTTGTCTATTAAAAAAGCGTAATATTGATTGAACAAAAGCAGTCATAGAATGTCATTTTTCTAAGGCTCAAAACTAGTAAATCTAAGTAGTGTATTCTTTAGGAAAACATACATTAAGTGGTACAATAATATGGAAAGAAGGGAATGAAAAACTTGAAATGATGGCTATTCTTAGGGATGGGGAAGAAAAGAGATGGGATTAGGAAGGAATTCATAGGTATATGAAGGTTATTAGAAGTGTTCTAATTCTTAAGTCAGGCGGTAGATTTGGGGTCTTTATTTTATCATTGTGATTTGTAACTTAAATATATACATTATTTTGCATGTATATTTTAAATATACTTTTTATATATCAAATATTAAAAACATGTAAATAAATGTTAAAAAATAAGGTATCATAGGAACATAAACCAGGGCCAATGTAGCACAATACTAAAAAGAAGGTAATAGTTTCTGCACACTCAACTCTTTCCTAGTGCTGATAAGATGAAACACTCTCAGGACAGACATTAATACTTGATAGTGAAAAGTGTGCACTGTGTCACTAGCAACTTAGAGGCCCAGGCTGGCCGTTAGTGGACACTCCATTAGTTTTTAGAGTCAGCCTGGTTTCTCCTCTCTGCTCTTCTTGAGAGTGTCCATTTACTTCAGCCATTCTTCTTTGACTCATAGTAATTTCTTTCTCTTGTCGTCTGCCTATTCAGAGCCTGTGTGTTAAGATGATGTCAGGTCTCTCTGATGTTTTCTTCTTTTTTCTTTTTTTAATAGTGTATATACGTCAATTCCAATCTTGCAATTCATCCCAGCCCCCTTTCCCCCTGATTATCCATACTTTTGTTCTTCACATCTATGTCTCTATTTCTGCTTTGTAAATAAGATCGTCTATACCAACTTTTTCAGATTCCACATATATGCATTAATATATGTTTTTCTGACTTACCTCACTCTGTATGACAGTCTCTATGTCCATTCATGTCTTAACAAATGATCCAGTTTTGTTCCTTTTATAACTGAGTAATAGTCTATTGTATATATGATATATATATATTATATTTCACAACTTTATCCATGCTTCTGTCGATAGACATTTAGGTTGTTTCCATGTTGTGATTATAGAAGACATACAGTTGACAAACAGACACAGGAAAAGATGTTCAGCATCACTAATTATTAGAGAAATGAAAATCAAAATTACAGTGAGGTATCATCTCGTACCAGTCAGAATGGCTATCATCAAAAACTCTAAAATGTACAAAAAATCTACAAAAAAATAAACAATGAATTCTGGAGAGGATGTGAAGAAAAGGGAATACTCTTGTACTGTTGGTGGGAATGCAAATTGATACAATCACTATGGAGAACAGAATGGAGGTTCCTTTAAAAACTAAAAATAGAATTACCATGTGACCCAGCAATCCCACTACTGGGCATATACCCAGAGAAAATCATAATTCAAAAAGATACATGTAGCCCAGTGTTCATTGCAACACTATTTACAGTAGCCAGGACATGACAGCAGCAAAACCTAAATGTTTTCTTGTTTTCAGCCCCTAATTGTCCTTGAATTACTTCTTGTGTTTTTGTTCTCTCATCAATTGGATTATGTGCTTCTTGAGAGTTTCTTGTGTTCTTCACCATGCTCAATATAAAACTAGATACAAAACAGGTGTTAACTACTGGCCCATTATATATATATATATATATACACACACACACACACACACACACACGTATATATAGATATGGAGAAGGAAATGGCAACCCACTTCAGTATTCTTGCCTGGAAAATTCCATGGACAGAGGAGCCTGGTGGGCCACAGTCCATGGGGTTGCAAAGAGCTGGCCAACTGAGCGACTGAGCACGCGCGCGCACACACACACACATGCTTCTGAATTCTATCAAAACTACTCCAATCCACTGATCTACAGATAATATATCCTTCAACAGTCACATTTACATCATAACGGAGTATTGTTGGGACTTAACTTTTTTAGAAAATTAAACAAGGAGATCAGTAATATGTTGATTATAGTTACTTGCACTCACTGGGGGGAAAAGGGATTCATTAAACTTAAGCTCCTTTCTTGAACTTCTTAGATCCTGCATTCTTCACATTCAGAGGTTAGAGGACTAATCAACAAATTCCAAGATACGCTGTCTGGTTCAGTACATTCTTTTCTACTTAAGTTATTCAGAACGCTAGATCCAAAGTGCTAATGTGATTTTTATGTCAACTAGGCATCCACATTGAACTTGGCTCAATAAACAAATATTTCTATGAGCAGGTGTAACTTTGTGCTTTAAAAAACCTGTTGTGACACAAACAGCAAAAGTATAAATAATGACAGGAAGTCATTAAATGAAGTTAAACATCATTGACAAATCCTATAGATCTCTAGGTTCTTACCGGCAGGCCCCATCGGCCACAGAGGCTAAGTTTCAAGTGCAAGTGGTGCCAGAGACTGTTAGATTTTGATAAAATTACTTTATATTTCTGTTCTTCAGTTTCTTCTCTCAAGTGAGGAGATAAAGTAACATTTGACAAATTTAGAGACTCATTTTTCATTTTCCTTTCCATGTGATTCAAAAAAGCTCAAAAAACTCATAGCTTATATTTTGAAAATCATTTATATTAATACTTGGAAAAAATTTCTCTGGAATAGACATCATTTTCCTTTCCATGTGATTCAGAAAAGCTCAAAAAACCTCATAGCCTATATTTTGAAAATCATTTATATTAATACTTAGAAAAAATTGCTCTGGAATCGACAGAGCAACATAGTTTACACAGATGTGCCTGCCAATAGTTGGTAATAAGCAGTGTACTCAGAGCACTTTAAAAATGAAGTGCACCTCTCCAAGCATTAAACACTAAGGTGTTTTTTATTTTTTTTGAATTAGAGTATAGTTGGTTTTTAATGTTGTGTTGCTTTCTGCTGTAGAGCAGAATGGATCAGTTGTATGTATGTATACATATTTCCACTCTTTTTTTGGATAAGCTTCTCATTTAGATCACCACAGAACATTGAGTTCCCTGTTCTATACAATAGGTTCTCACTAGTTATCTATACATAGTATCATATATCTATCTATACATAGTATAGATACTACTGTCTATACATAGTATCAATAGTGTATATATGTCAGTCCAATTCATTCCGCGCCACCCTTAACCTGCACAGGTATCCATACATTTGCTCTCTGCGTCTGTGTCTCTATTTCTGCTTCACAAATAAGATCAGCTATACCGTTTTTCTAGATCCTATGTATATGTGTTAATATACAAATTTTGTTTTTCTCTTACTTCACTCTGTATGACAGTCTCTAGGTCCATCCTGTTTTCATGACATTTTTTGTTCCAAGTAGCTTATTATACTGCTATTCTATCACTAGATTTGGGCTATTTAGAAGGATCCTTTCTACTTAGCAACTATAAATTTGGTTAGATATGTAAATATGGTCAGATATGTAAATATGATGGATATGTAAATTTTCTAATATTCTGGTGCACTTCACACCTCACCACACTGTAGGTCGCACTAGATGTGGCACCAATAACCAGCAAAAATTGAACCAAAACAAGAACAGAACAAAATGTAAAACCATTGCCAAGCCTTTTACAAATGTTAATTTTTATTTAAAAAAATCCATATTGTGTAAAGATGTTCAAGTAAACTCCAAGAGAGCAAGCCATAGAAGATTATCTTGCTCAAATTGTTTTTTTTTTTCTTTTCAAAATTTTATACTGATCATTTTATTTCTTTTTGTATACAGTGAAACCTTAAAAGCAATGGTGAATAAGAATGGCAGTGGCATACACCCTCTGTTGTTCCTAATCTATTTAGGTTTTACCTCTAAGTAACAAAAATTTTTCTGTTACATTGTCTTCTGTTAACTTGATAATCGTTTCTTCCACATTTATTTCTCTGATTCATTTTGAGTCTGTCATTGTATTTGAGGTTAAATAGAGATCATATTTTATTTTTCTCTGTAGAGTGAGTCAACACCATCTCTATATTGTCTGTTCTTTCAACATAAATTTGTGGTACCGTTTTATCAAAAACTAAGCTCTTATGGGTTTGGACCTAAAACTTCTATTCTGCCCATTGAACTATTTGTCCATTATTGAGTTGTACCATGTTTTTTTGTTGTTGTTGTTTTAGCAGATCTTCATATTCTTTTTTAAAAAGTTAATTTATTTATTTTAATTGGAGGTTAATTACTTTACAGTATTGTAGTGGTTTTTGCCATACATTGACATGAATCCTCCATGGGTGTACATGGGTTCCCCATCCTGAACCCCCCTCCCACCTCCCTCCCCATCCCATCCCTCAGGGTCATCCCAGTGCACCAGCCCTGAGCACCCTGTCTCAGGCATCAAACCTGGACTGGCGATCTGTTTCACATATGATAATATACATGTTTCAATGCTATTCTCTCAAATCATCCCACCCTCGCCTTCTCCCACAGAGTCCAAAAGTCTGTTCTTTACATCTGTGTCTCTTTTGCTGTCTCGCATATAGGGTCATCGTTACCATCTTTCTAAATTCCATATATATGCGTTAGTATACTGTATTGGTCTTTATCTTTCTGGCTTACTTCACTCTGTATAATGGGCTCCAGTTTCATCCATCTCATTAGAACTGATTCAAATGAATTCTTTTTAATGGCTGAGTAATATTCCATGGTGTATATGTACCACAGCTTCCTTATCCATTCGTCTGCTGATGGGCATCTAGGTTGCTTCCATGTCCTGGCTATTATAAACAGTGCTGCGATGAACATTGGGGTGCACGTGTCTCTTTCAGATCTGGTTTCCTCGGTGTGTATGCCCAGAAGTGGGATTGCTGGGTCATATGGCAGTTCTATTTCCAGCTTTTTAAGAAATCTCCACACTGTTTTCCATAGTGGCTGTACTAATTTGCATTCCCACCAACAGTGTAAGAGGGTTCCCTTTTCTCCACACCCTCTCCAGCATTTATTGCTTGTAGACTTTTTGATAGCAGCCATTCTGACTGGCATGAAATGGTACCTCATTGAGGTTTTGATTTGCATTTCTCTGATAATGAGTGATGTTGAGCATCTTTTCATGTGTCTGTTAGCCATCTGTATGTCTTCTTTGGAGAAATGTCTGTTTAGATTTTTGGCCCATTTTTTGATTGGGTCATTTATTTTTTCTGGAATTGTTGCTCAACTCGTTTTAACAGCTCCTAGTTAAAAACCTGGCATATAGTATTATTTTATAGTATTTCCAACTATAAAAATCCTAGCAAATCCACAAGAGAGTGAGTTTTCTTCTGTAAATGTAATAATTTGCTTTATGATGTAGGGTAGGACATTTTAATACTATTGTCAATATTCCACACAAATAGCAATTTCAACATATAATAAAATGGAAAAAATACCGAGTGAATACTAAAATTATGGTAATATTTGATCACAGTTCAGCAGAATATAATTTAGTCTTGGGGGACTTAAATTATGCTAATTTATACATTTTAAAGTAAAGAATCTATCTATTGTCACATTTATTACGGGGTTTTAATAGATAGGGATTCAAGTTTCCTTCATTAATGGATTAATATTTTTAATGTGGTACAATTCTCATCACTTATCCTGATTTTTTTTGCTTAAATATAAAATTCTGAATTATTGCAGCTAGAGCTCCATGATTCAGAAATTGTGATTATGGATTTGTGCTAAGCTTTCCATTGTCTCTCTGGTCTTGACTGGCCATTAAGGACTCAGGGGATTTAAGGCTCTAATTTTCTTCTCAGAGCATACATTTTATGAAACAAAAAATATCTGTCTCCACTTGTGTGTGTGAATGTGTAGGAAGGTCTTCTTTAAGGATGCATATAGCTCTTTAAAATATTAATAAATATAATCAATCAATGTTTAAAGCTTCCAGTGATTTAAAATACCCTCCTTATAACTGATGTTTTTATTTGAATGGAAGGTATTAAAACACAAGCTATTTCTAGATGCTCTATGTATATATCTCTGTTGAAGAATTCTCTAGAGTCTGTAGAAATCTTTGTTGTTATAATTAATTTAGCAGACATATGGAAAAGTTTACCATCTTTTTATTCACATATTTGAAAGTCATTAAATACCCACACATCAATCTAGTCAAACAAATAATATCAGCTTGTTCCTTGATACATTAAAATGAAATACTAACCATCATTTAATAATAAGTACTCTTCTCCCATAGTGATAGTGGTAAAGAACCTGCCTGCCAGTTCAGGTGATGAAAGAGACACAGATTCAGACTCTGAGTTGGGAAGATTCCCCTGGAGGTGCACGTGGCAACCCACTCCAGTGTTCTTGCATGGAGAATCCTGTGGACAGAGTCTGGTGGGCTGTAGTCCATGGAGTCACAAAGAATTGGACATGACTTAGCAATGAAATAACAACAGCCTTTCTCCCAACTTTTCAGAGTTGTTCATCCTGTTTAAAAGAGAGACTACAAATTGAAATTTAAATACTGTGGCCCCTCAAAAAAAACCAGTTGATGGATAAAGCAAATAAGAAATTACAAGGCAGAAAAAGAACATTAAGTTCCAACGATTAGCTAAATAATATGCCAAAAGAAGAGTTGATCTGACAAAGATGACTGCAGCTCTTGCACAGTCCTGACTTCATTGAACCCTTTTAAATGGGCTTCCCAGGTGGCACTAGTGGTAAAGAACCCGCCTGCCAATGCAGGAGATGTAAGAGACGCAGGTTCGATCCCTGGGTCAGGAAGATCCCTGGAGAAGAAAATGGTGACCCACTCCAGTATTCTTGCCTGGAGAATCCCACAAACAGAGGAACCTGGCAGGCCACAGTCCATAGGGCTGCAAAAAGTTGGACATGACTGAAGCAACTGAGCATACAAGCATGCAAATTAGAAATGCTAAAGGTTTGCATGCATTCTCTGTACGCTAAATAAAAAATACTACATACTATTTTAAATCTCAAATACTATGATTTTTCAACATCCTGTTCAGTTACTTTCATATCCTTCCCATGATAAGTTTATATATCAGAGAGTTTATGATTTATATATAAAAATTGTATCATATATAAACATATATCAGATAAGTTCATATATTAAGCAATATGTGACTCCAACTTATTCTTTTTTTTTCTAACTTATTCATTCTTTTTGTGAAAATAGATTCTTTACCTGGGAATGAAGAAGCGCTAATGGAAGAGAGTGAAGAATTTGAGAAAGCATCTAAATTAACAGGACCTGTAAGTATATTCATTGACTTAATTTTATCTCTAAAATGTATATCTTAACTAATGTATATCTCTAACAGGAACATCTAAAAGGAATAGAAAGAAATAGGAAGCAATGTCATTTAAAGAATATGTTAAAATGTGCCTCCAGTATAGCCCACATAGTCATGGAGATGCTCCTTTAAGTAAGTGGTCAGCTTGATTATAGGTACATAGCAAAGCTACAAAGTTGCACTGAGCTCTTTCAGCAATTGGAGAAGAAGAGTTGAATAAAGGGGTGGGGAACCTAAGTCCTGGTATTATTAACTGCTTGGTTGTGCACATGAATATTCTAAAAGATTATGAGCTGCCATCTCAAACTTCAATAAATCAATCCACTCCAGTACTCTTGCCTGGAAAATCCCATGGACGGAGAAGCCTGGTAGCCTGCAGTCCATGGGGTTGCTAAGAGTTGGACAGGACTGAGCAGCTTCACTTTCACTTTTCACTTTCATGCATTGGAAAAGGAAATGGCAACCCACTCCAGTGATCTTGCCTGGAGAATCCCAGGGACAGGGGAGCCTGGTGGGCTGCCGTCTATGGGGTCGCAGAGAGTTGGACACGACTGACGTGACTTAGCAGCAGCAACAGCATATCATGATAGAAAAATAAATGTTTTGCATATCCTGGAAGTTCGCATATAACTTAAAGTGAAAGTCGCTCAGTCATGTCCAACTCTTTGTGACCTCGTGGACTCTACAGTCCATGGAATTCTCCAGGTCAGAATACTGGAGTGGGTAGCCTTTCCCTTCTCTAGGGGGTCTTCCCAACCCAGGGATTGAAGCCAGGTTTCCCAAATTGCAGGCTAATTCTTTAACAGCTGAGCCACAGAGGAAGCCCAAGGACCGGAGTGGGTAGCCTATCACTTCTCCAAGGGATCTTTCTGATTGCAGGGGGATTCTTTATCAACTGAGCTATCAGGGAAGCCCAGGTATAACTTAAGTGTAATATTATTAGTTGTGAAGTCCTTCTGATATTTTGATTAAACTATATCTCTTCCACAAAGTACATTGGGAGGAAACCATTCAGTTCAGTTCGGTCGCTCAGTCGTGTCCAACTCTTTGCAACCCATTGACTGCAACATGTCAGGCTTCCCTGTCCATCACCATCTCCCGGAGCTTGCCCAAACTCATGTCCATTGAGTCAGTGATGCCATCTAACCATCTCATCCTCAGTCGTCCTCTTATCCTCCTGCCTGCAATCTTTCCCAGCATCAGGGTCTTTTCTAATGAGTCAGTTCTTGGCATCAGGTGGCCAGACTATTGGAGTTTCAGATATAGCATCAGTCCTTCCAATAAATATTCAGGATTGATTTTCTTTAGGATTGCCTGGTTGGATTTCCTTGCAGTCCAAGGGACTCTCAAGAGTCTCCTCCAAAACACAGTTCAAAAGCATCTATTCTTCAGTGCTCAGCTTTCTTTATAGTCCAACTCTCACATCCATATGACTACTGGAAAAAATATAACTTTGACTAGATGGACATTTGTTGGCAAAGTAATGTCTCTGCTTTTTAATATGCTGTGTGGGTTAGTCATAGCTTTTCTTTCAAGGAGCAAGCATCTTTTAATTTCATGGTTGCAGTCACCATCTGCAATGATTTTGGAGTCCAAGAAAATAAAGTCTATCACTGTTTCCATTGTTTCTCCATCTATTTGCTATGGAGTGATGTGACCAGATGCCGTGAACTTTGTTTTTTGAATGTCAAGTTTAAGTCNAATTTTCTTGATGAGATCTCTAGTCTTTCTCATTCTATTGTTTTCCTCTATTTCTTTGCATTGGTCACTGAGTAAGGCTTTCTTATCTCTCCTTGGTATTCTTTGGAATTCTGCATATAAATGGGTGTATCTTTTCTTTTCTCCTTTCCCTTTAGCTTCTTTTCTTTTCTCAGCTATTTGTAAGACCTCCTCAGACAGCCATTTTTCCTTTTTGCATTTCTTTTTCTTGGGGGTGGTATTGATCACTGCCTCCTGTACAATGTCATGATCCTCTGTCCATAGTTCTTCTGGCAATCTCTCTATCAGATCTAATCCCTTGAATCTGTTTGTCACTTCTACTGTATAGTCATAAGAGATTTGATTTAGGTCATACCTGAATGGTCTAGTGGTTTTTCCTACTTTCTTCAATTTACCTGTGAATTTGGCAATGAGGAGTTCATGATCTGAGCCACAGTCAGCTCCCGGTCTTATTTTTGCTGACTGTGTAGAGTGTCTCCATCTTTGGCTGCAAAGAATATGATCCACCTGATTTCAGTATTGACCATCTGGTGATGTCCATATCTTGTGTTGTTGGAAGAGGGTGTTTACTATGACCAGTGCATTCTCTTGGCAAAACTCTGTTAGCATTTACTCTGCTTCATTTTGTACTCCAAAGCCAAATTTGCCTGTTACTCCAGGTCTCGACTTCCTACTTTGGCATTATAGTCCCGTATGAAGAAAAGGACATCTTTTTTGAGTGTTAATTCTATAAGGTCTTGTAGGTCTTCATAGAACCATTCAACTTCAGCTTCTTCAGCATTACTGGTTGGGGCATAGACTTATATTACTGTTATATTGAATGGTTTGCCTTGGAAAAGAACAGAGATCATTATGTCATTTTTGAGCTGCACCCAAGTACTGCATTTCAGACTCTCTTGTTGACTATGAGGGCTACTCCCTTTCTTCTAAAGGATTCTTGCCCACATTAGTAGATATAATGATCATCTGAATTAAATTCGCCCATTCTAGTCCATTTTAGTTCACTGATTCCTAAAATGTCAATGTTCACTCTTGCCATCTCCTGTTTGACCACTTCTAATTTACCTTGATTCATGAACCTAACATTCCAGGTTCCTATGCAGTACTGCTCTTTACAGCATCAGAGTTTACTTCCGTCACCAGTCACATCCACATCTGGATGTTGTTTTCACTGTGGCTCTGTCTCTTCATTTTTTCCTGGAGTTTTTTCTCCACTTTTCTCCCATGGTTACTCCCAGGTAACCATTAGGTTCAACATTTTCAGTGCAATTTAATGGTACAAGGTTTGTTGCTGTTGTTGTTCAGTTACTAAGTCAAGTCTGTTTGTGATCCCATGGACTGCAGCATACCCAGCCTCCCTGTCCTTTACTATCTCCTAGAGTTTGCTCAAACTCATGTCCAGTGAATTGATGATTCAGGGCAGGAAGAGAAGGAGGTGACAGAGGACTCTGTCACCTCCTTCTCTTCCTGCCCTGAATCTTTCCCAGCATCAGGTTCTTTTCCAATGAGTTGGCTCCTCACATCAGGTGGCCAAATACTGGAGCTTCACCATAAGCATCAGTCCTTCCCATGAATATTCAGGGTTGGTTTCCTTTAGGATTGACTGGTTTGATCTCCTTGCAGTCCAAGGGACTCTCAAGAGTCTTCTCCACCACCACAATTTGAAAGCATCAATTCTTTGGTGCTCAGCCTTCTTTATAGTCCAACTTTCTCATCTGTACATAACTACTGGAAAAACTATAACTTCGAATATCTGGACTTTTGTCGGCAAAATGATGGCTCTGCTTTTTAAATGCTGTCCAGGTTTGTCATAGCCTTTCTTCCAAGGAAGAGGATCTTCACAAGGATAGACACAGAAAAAATTGAAATTTGCATATATAGTCTAAATATAAAGTTTTTCAAGAAGTCTGAGTTACTATAAAAATGGCTTTGCAATCTTGCATTATCCTAAACTTAGTATTTAGACTGGGTTAATATACTACAGTGGTTTCCCTGGTGACTCAGCTGGTATAGAACCTGCCTGCCAATGCAGGAGATAAAAGAAGATGCATTCTTGATCCCTGGGTTGGGAAGATCCCCTGGAGAAGGAAATGGCAGCCTGCTCCAGTATTCTTCCCTAGAAAATTCCACAGTATTTTCTGTGTTAGTTTGCTAGAGATGCTGTAACAAAGCACCATAGACTGGGTGGCTTAAACAACAGAAATGTATTGTCTCACAATTCTGAAGGTGGAAGTCTGAGATCCAGGTGTGAGCAAGGTTGGTTTCTTCTGAGGCCTCTCTCCTTAGCTTGCAGACAGTGCCTTCTCCCTATGTTTTCACATGGTCTTCCCTCTGTACATGGCTGTGTCTTAATCTCCTTTTCTCATAAATACACCAGTCATTTTGGGTCAGGACCCATTTCAGTGATCTCATCTGGCTTAATTACCTCACAAATACAGTCACATTCTGAAGTACTAAAACTTAGAGCTTCAACATTTGAATTGTGGGAGGGACACAGTTCAGTCCAGAACATTCTCTGATGAGATTGCATTATTTGGAACATTATTTGGGTCACAAGATTTGGTTGAGGGAACCACATTTTTCAATGGATTTCATAATAAAATTATTGTAAAAATTTGATGAAATTAATGTATCTTTTTTCATATGTTGGCTTTTCATGGAAGCTTCCCAGGCCTTGTTTAAAATCTCTGATTTCTCTGTTATTGTATACAGTACTTATCACCTTCTCTTACACTGTATGATTTACTTGTTTTGTTTCTTGTCTATCACCTCTCACATGATTTAAGGTCTATCTAAGCAAAGTTTTTGGGCATTTTTCTCTTCTGTATTCTTGGAGGAGTGCCTATATATAGTAGGCACTATTATACAACATAGTAGCTATGTATTGATTAAATAAAATTATTAGGCAGTAATTTCTTACCATGACATGAAAAATATCATATTTTCATTTATTATGAAATAGTAGGACCTTAGAAATAGAAAGCACCATGGCGGCCATCTAGTTCAAGATTTATGGTGCCCATCTAGTTCAAGAGTGTTAGTCGCTCAGTCATGTCTGACTCTTTGCAACTCCATGGACTGTAGCTTGCCAGTCTCCTCTGCCCATGGAATTCTCCAGGCGAGAATACTGAAGTGGGTTGCCATTCCCTTCTCCAGGGGAATCTTCCCAACCCAGAAAACGAACTTCGATCTTCTGCATTGCAGGCAGATGCTTTACCATCTGAGTCACCAGGGAAACCC